ACCGCTAATATTTTAGCTGAAAAGTAATGAAAGATCCCAGAGAAGAATGTGAGAATTGTACCTGTTTCTGAGTTGGAACAGGAAAAAAAAATTGCATAGACAGAGGAGATGGGACGGAGGAAGGGAGGTGCAGAGGAAAGAGAGAAGAATATATTGTTAAAATAAAGGGCTGAATAAACGACTGAAAACAGGCCGGCATAAAATGAAATAATTGGAATTGCTCAATGTTACATACATAGCCCCCATTTACTTACAATTTTTCACCCTAAAAAATTAATCTTTTGACCGTTAATTTTCTAAAATAGTCATTATTTTTTACCAGTTCACTCGCAGGTGACATTCACTTTTCTCTTTAAGAGTCAAAAAATTAATTTTCATAATCACTATTGAACAGACTCATTTGAAAATATATATTATTTTGAATAGTAAATTTTCGAAGAATGTGCGGTTAAAATTGGGACTAATGTTGAATTTGCATACAAAATATTTTATTATATAAATGTGATTGAAAATCAATGTGAGAATTAAAAATTTTCATTTTAAAGAAAGAAAAATATGGGCTAAATTGAATCGAACTAGCAATCAAAGAGTATGAGGATCGATAAAATCCATGTTAGGCTCAAAATTAAGTAAGCGAGTCGTCAAACACTTCAAAACTTTCGCGTTTGAAACTCAACAATCGTTCGACCTCGATCAACTTTACATCTCTAATTAAAAATTATCCAATATTAATTCGATATAACTGTTAGGGCTTTATCATGCCGTTTTCTTCCAATATTTCTTTGTCCACAACTTTACCGCGTGTTGGCTGTCCCATTTAAAATATTCAATTTTCTTCCAGTTGTATACTACCAAACCTATTAAAGAAATGAAAGAAAATTCAGAAAACCTTTCGTGCTCATGTTGTGTCAGGATAATACAAAAGAATATGCCAAAAATAATTTATTTTAGACTTTTCATAGAGAAAAAGAAATATAGCAAGCCAACGAACAGATTAATTGATAGTGACAAGCTTCGGTTAAACTAAATCTAGTTATTTAGCCCCTATTTAGTTTAGTGTAGATTAAAATAGACATTTTAATAGATTTTGATTAAAGACGATGACGTATGGTTGAAAAATTTCTGAAGTCGACGAAATGTGTTATTAAATTAATTGTTAATTTTAACTTGAAATTTTAAGTTAGACCAGACAGCTTCCTAAAATTATCCCGTAATTGTTCTAACTTTATTCGTTCATGTATCAAAATCATTCCAATTAACATATGAGAAGCCAAAATAATGTTGCGAATGATTTTCGATTATGCGTAAAGAATTTAAAGAATTGCGATGACTATTGTAGAAGGAATATGTGTGTTGTATATCATCATTTACATAATTTTTCACACGGTGACGAAATTTTACCCAATCAAATCTCGTCATATCATCTGATAGTAAATCAATCTATGAGTTATGATATATATGTAACGCAATCCATTGCGGGAAGTTAAATGTGGCACGTGTTGTTTTGTTCTCTGCAATGGGAACAAAATAGCCTACATTTTAGCCTAGTTGGCTAATAATTGAGTTCCTCTAAATTGGGTCAATTGTACTACTTTCATATCATCCCTTTGTTTGTACATGATGACATTTCTTAATAAAAGTCTCTCTTTGGTAGTCAAAGAAAACAACCCGCTTGGAAGGTAGTTGGCCTTTTCAATGCGAAAGCGAAACTATAAGGTAAGTTGTATATCATACACAAAAATCAATCCGAGGAAACTACCTTTGACCAACAAGGTATTTGTAATTCTTTCACTAATAACGAAAAACCAACTTATTGGTGGCGAAAGAATATTTTTAATTCGGCAAAAGAATAAGATTTTAGTTTTTTAATAGTTTAAGACTGCGTTTATCACCAAATCATCATCAAGATCATGAAAACTTGTTGAAAAAATGTAGAAAATGTCTGATGGAACTCCTGCGCGGACCGCATAAGCCTTCAATTATAAGCAAAAGCATTCAATAAGTAATTATCCTTTGAGCAACTCAATAAAGAGGAGGTCCAAGATATGAAAGATGGGCACAATTTAAGGTGCAGAATGAGTTGGACATGACATTTTCATTTCTGATAATCTGGAGATCACGTTACATGGTGTACACATTTTGTGCTCCATCTTCACAGAACAAAAATGTCACCATTTGATGGAATAAAGTCAAAATAACTATTTTCAAACCATGAAAATGAATAATTCAACTTTCATTTTCCAACTTTAGAAAGTCAAGAAAGAAACAGCTATCATCTGTAGAAATTTATATAAAAATCCTTCTAGAATAAAATTAGGAATACTGAAGAGAAGTACAGGAAATGATTTCAGGAAATAAACGATAAAATGAATCAAACGAGAATCGCAAGCCCTTCCTTTTTGGGAGGTGCGACTGCCTTGTTTCCCGGGAAGGCATTGCGCGAGATGTCGACCAGGGCCTTGAAGCTATATGGTTCATGCATTGAAAGCTCTGAAAGAACTTTCCTGTTGAGCTGGATGTTCTCATTCATCAGCCCATGCATAAAATTACCATAGTTCACCTGTCATGCAACAGAGAAAACAAGTCAGAGCTTTATGACCCACATAAAATAATTTGATTAGGAACCTAGCCCTTGTTCGAGCCCCATTTTTGGGCCAAAATGCATTTTAAAATAGTGTTTCATTGAAGAATGTGTTGTTGAAAGTAAGGAAAAAGCCCTGGGTTCACATATAAAATTGTTTTATAAGGGAATGTGTGATTGAAAATGAGTTTTTGGAAAAAATGGGGGGCCAAACATAGGCTAAATTTTTATCTTAGAATAAAAGTCGAAAATGGAGGCTTGGATCACCACAATTGCCAAATACTAATCAAACTGTTAAGCTTAACAAATCTAAAACATAAACAAGAACTTGCAAACTGATATATTCAGCAGATTGTCTATCTTTTAGGCTGGCAGTAATTCTAGAAAGAATGGAGCTGTCGTGAAAAAATAGAAGTACCACCAAAGTCCTGGCATTTTTATAAAACATGTCATAACAGTCAATTACATGAAACTTTGATGACATGGTAGAAAACTAGCTATTCACTTAATTTCTGAGCTTTGCTTGTGAGCCGAAGTAACTTAATGTCTGTGTTGTGTATGTGACTCATATAGAGTGGAACACAGATTTACTGGATCAAATAGGTCGATATTGAAGCGAAATACATGTCATAACAGTCAATTACATGAAACTTGGATTTATTTCTCTCTTTATCATTGTGTATAAAATCCAACAGTTTGTCCAGACTCGCTAGCATTAATTGGATTTATGCTACACGAACTATTAAGGGAAACTAATATACAACCAGCAATTTAGAAAAAAATGCTTTGTATATTAGTTGTAGTTGGTAGGAAATTATTCAGTTTCCACACATGTACAGTGGTGGCGAACATTTAGCCGTGTAATTAGCCTTAATATTTCTATATATGCAAAGGAATCCTCACAATGAGGATCATCGAGTTAAAAGCATAAAATTGATTACCTTTGACATGGTATCAGAGTCTCGTCTTTGAATTAGGACTCAATCTTTGGTTCGGACTACTCCGATAGTCTTCTTGGGTATTGAAGTTGTGAATTTCTTTCTGATCTTTATCTTCTATGGTGGCCGGAAATTACTCGTGTTTTTCAACAAGATTCTGGGAATTTAGTCGGAATTCAATCACAATCATCTGGGAGTCGCAATCATCTAAGACAATCAAAGTCTTCGTGAACTTCTAATTTTTGTCGGCACCTTTTGTATTGGTTGACACAGCATGGACCTAGGCCTAAGCGTTTGGATTAGTTTCGACTCCAGCCTGAAACCGAAACCAAAACCAAATTAGTTGGTTTAGGTGAATTTCAACCCAAACCAACTCAGTCTAACTCTTAAACCGAACTAAACCAAATCGGTTCGGCTCGGTTCAATTAGTCGGTTGGACTTTTAATCCAAAAAAAAAAAAAAATTAAAAAAAAAAAAAAAAAAAAAATTTTGGCCCAAAAGTAGAGTGCGGAAATCTGATTGCACTGGACGACACTCCGATAGTCTTCTTGGGTATTGAAGTTGTGAATTTCTTTCTGATCTTTATCTTCTATGGTGGCCGGAAATTACTCGTGTTTTTCAACAAGATTCTGGGAATTTAGTCGGAATTCAATCACAATCATCTGGGAGTCGCAATCATCTAAGACAATCAAAGTCTTCGTGAACTTCTAATTTTTGTCGGCACCTTTTGTATTGGTTGACACAGCATGGACCTAGGCCTAAGCGTTTGGATTAGTTTCGACTCCAGCCTGAAACCGAAACCAAAACCAAATTAGTTGGTTTAGGTGAATTTCAACCCAAACCAACTCAGTCTAACTCTTAAACCGAACTAAACCAAATCGGTTCGGCTCGGTTCAATTAGTCGGTTGGACTTTTAATCCAAAAAAAAAAAAAAATTAAAAAAAAAAAAATAAATAAAATTGTCTAAGTTTTGGACATAATTAGATTACAAAAACTAAAATAACTAAAAAACTTTATATTACAGGAATTATTGACTAACAAATAAAATCAGGTTAACAGAGACAAATCAACGGAAAACTTTATGTAGCCTAATTGTCTGAGTAGGGAAAAAAGACTAAGTATAACATAATGAGCTTGTGAAAAGAAATTTAGTACTATTACTTACCAACACCATCACAGATTGGAGTGAATCATGATATAGTTATGAGATTATGACTTATCTTTTGATTTTAATTTTTTTTAATAAAAAAGGTAAACTTGTAAGTGAGTTGAGTTAGTTCAATTAACTGGCAATTTGAGGCTTTAAACCATGACCAAACCAACCCACCATGATTTTGTTCAAAAGAAAACTAAACCAAACCAAATTACCTGTGTCAAAACCGACCTAAGCAGACCCGAGTTGGTTCGGTTTGCTTGGTTTTTCTGTTTTTTGGCCAGGCCTACACAGACCATCTGTAGGTGGTCGGAATCCTCTATGTTGGCTGTAATTGCCTAGGTGAGATTCAAAATGGGTAAATTGCCGTTGCCATGAAGGTAAGCATTAGTATGTTGATTTGGGGCAAGTTCAATTTAGGGCAACTTAATTCATTTATTTTAGGCTGACTTTAGACCAATCATTCAGTATTTATCATTGGGCTAACTTAATTGGGCCAACTTAATTGATTTATTTTGGGCTAAATAAATTGATTTTGGGACTGCTAAACAGTGAAGTTTAGTTGGGCTCTAAGATTAGGTTTTGCAATCTTGTGGTTGGCTTTATATTTATATTGGATTCTGAAATTTTAATTTGGGACTGTTACTAATATAATTAACTATTAGTCCCATGGTAACCAACATTTCATATTCTTTTGGTGTGCGATTCATGAGGAAAAATTATTCTGCATGAGAATCTCAATTTCGATTATTTGTCGTCGGAAAAAATTTATGGGGTCACATTGGTAGAAGTGACCCAATTCCTACTGAGAATACCAAATTAGCTCGATGGACAGTGAAACATGCTAAAGTTATGAAATGGATTTTAGGATCTGTGATCCTATGATTGTCATAAATCTAAGGCCATATAAAACTACTAAAGCTATGCGGGAGTATTTGAAAAAGGTTTACAATCAAGACCACACAGCCAGACGATTTCAATTGGAATATGAGATTGCAAATTACACTTAGGGCAATCTCACCATCCAGGATTACTTTTCTAGGTTTTAAAATTTTTGGGGTGAATTTGCTAATAATTATCTATGCTAAGGTACCAGCCGAATCCTTTGATCCTGTTCAGACTATTCATGAACAGAGCAAACAAGATTAGTTTATGATGAAGTTATGATCAGAATTTGAGGTAACTCGCTCTAATTTGATGAATCAAGGTCCGCCTCTTCCTTTGGATTTATGTTTTGGGAAGTTACTTTGAGAAGAGTAACGTCTTACAACACAAGGCAATTTTCAGCGACATCATATGACACCTAATGTCGTCGCTTACGCAGCTCACGAAAATAGTAAAGGAAGGGATATGCGGAAAGTCCAATGTTTCAACTGCAAAGACTATGGGCATAATGCTACTCATTGTACTAAGAAGTCTTGCAATTGCTACATGAAGTCAAGACATATTATCAAAAATTGTCCTACTCGAACTCAGAATCGCTAAGCCAATGCATATCAAGTAGTAATCAGTCCACTAGCTCCTGAGGTGTCCTCTGCTGCTGCGCAATCTGTTCTTACTCCTGAAATAGTGCAACAAATGATTGTATCAGCTTTCTCTACTTTGGGACTTCAAGGTAAACATAATACCTCATCTTAGTCTTGGCTAGTTGATTCTGTACCTCAGATCATATGACTAGTTCCTCCGATGGCCTTTGTAATATTCGCCCATATCAAGGCTTATCTCATATTCAAATAGCTAATGATAGTCATTTAGCTATTGATACTGTTAATAACATTAATTTTGCTTTTCAGAACAATTTTATATCTCCTGATTTATCTACAAATTTTATTTCCTCTGGTCAATTAGTTGATAACAATTATAATGTTCATTTCTCTCGTGGTGTTTTTGTGCAGAATCAGGTGAAAACACTCGCGAAAGGGTCTAAAATTGGATGATTATTTCCATTATATTTTTTTATTCATAGTTATTTATCTTTGGCCTGTATAACTATTTAACAATAAAAGCAAAGTCTGGCAAAAACTTTTCGGCCATCCAAACTCCACTATCCTATCTTATTTGTTAAATTCTAATTTGTTGGGTAATAAAAACAGTTCTCATAATTTGTGCTTTGATTGTTCTACGTGCAAATTGGGAAAGGACTCTTCCTTTCCCTTCTTACAGTAGTCGTGCCGAAAAGAGCTTTGATGTTGTGCATAATGATGCTTGGGGCACTACGCCTGTAGACTCTCATGTCCAGTAAAAGTATTTTGTGACTTTCATTGATGATTATAATCGATACACATGGATCTACTTTCACCATTTTAAATATGAAGTACTTGTAGTTTTCAAGACTTTTGTGACATGTTTAGACCCAATTCTCCACCAGTATTAAAATTTACGATCTGATTTGAGTAGGAAATATATGTCTAATGAGTTTCATGATTTCTTAAAATAGAAAGGGATTTTGTATCAACGATCATGTACTTATACTCCTCAACAAAATGGGGTAGGGAACGAAAGAATCGCTATCTCTTGGATGTTCGTACATTTTTACTCGATTCCTATGTTCCTTCAAAATTCTAGGTTGAAGCAATGTTTTCTACAGTTTATTTAATCAATAGATTGCCTTCCCAAATTTTACACTTTAACTCTTCATATTATCTTCATAATCAATATCTTACTTATTATGACTTGCATACTTTTGGGTACATTTGCTTTGTTCATTTACCTCATCATGAACACACAAACTTTCAGCTCAATCTGTTAAATGTGCTTTTATGAGTTATCTTGTTACGCACAAAGGCTATGTTTGCTATGATCCTTGCTCTAACAGATTTTGTATTTCTCGTAATGTTGTTTTCTTTGAACACCAATCTTTCTTTACTACTCATGTTCAACATCCTGAAATTAGTTTTCTTCCATCTTTCTTTACGATGCGCACTGTTCTTTCTATTGCTACCTCTCAGAGGTGGCCTCTTCACTAGATGGACGTTAAAAATGCTTTTATTCATGGTGATCTCAAGGAGGATATTTACATAGCACCTTCTCCGAGTCTCTTTTCCTCTCCTTCACATGTAAGGTAAAGAGGTTCGTTATGGGTTGAAACAAGCTCCTCGAGCATGGTTTAAGAAGTTTCGATCTACTTTGCTACAGCTTTCTTTTATCCAGAGCCAGTACGACTCCTCTCTATTTTTTTGCAAGACGTCTACTGGTATTGTTCTTTTACTTGTATATGTAGACAACATTGTTACCACCGACATAGATTCTGAGTTAATCACTCAACTCCAATAGCATCTACACACTTCCTTTCATATGAATGATCTTGGTCCGCATACATATTTTTAGGGTTGGAAGTACATACCAATTCCATAGGTATATTCTTGAACCAACATAAATACATTCAAGACTTGATCACTTTGGCTCGTCTTCAGGATTCTTTCATTATTGACACTCTAGAAGTCAATGTAAAATATCATCGTCAGGAGGGTGATATCTTTCCTAATCCCACTATCTTTCAGCAATTAGTTAGGAGCCTCAACTACTTGACCATCACTAGGCCTGATATATCATTCATCGTCCAGCAAGTCAATCAATTTATGCAAGCTCCACAACATCTCCATCTTGGGGTTGTTCGTCGCACATTCGGTATCTCCAAAGTACTTGTCATCGTGGATTTTTTCTTGCTAGCTATCCTATTGGCCTTATTGCGTTTAATAATGCGAATTGGGCTAGGTGTCCCGATACTCGTTCTATTACGTTTTGGTGTATGTTTCTTGATAATTCTTTGATCTCCAAAAAAAGTAAAAAGCAGGCTTGTGTGTCCAAATCTACAAAATATAATCCGAATATCGTGCCATGTCCGTTGCCTATTCTAAGATTATTTGGCTTTGTGGGCTTTTAGCTGAACTTCGCTTCCTCAATCTAATCTGATACCCCCTTCATGCAGACAACACAAATGCTATTCAAATTGCTGCAAATAGAATATCATGAGCATACAAAAACATATCAAAGTGGATTGTCATTCATCTAGAGACTTCCGATACTAGTATTATTTCTCTTTCGCATATGTCCATTGATCTTCAGATTGCCGATATATTTACCAAAGCTATGACATGACAACATTATCTCTTTTTTGTGAGCATATTGATTTTTTTTTATCACCCAACATCAATTTGAGGTGGATGTCAATTGGATATATGCTATACGAACTAATAAGGGAAACTAATTTACAGCTAGCAATTTAGAAAAGATGCTTTGTATATTAGTTGTAATTGGAAGGAATTTATTCTGTTTCATACATGTACAATGCTGACTGACATTCAGCCATGTAATTAGCCTTATTATTCCTAAATATACAAGATCATCAAGTTAAAAGGAAAAAATTGAATACCTTTGACATCTGGCACTGACACAGGCTTATCATCTAAGAATAGTTGACTTCCCCTTTTTCCCCAATTTGTGAGGGAAGAAAAGCTTGGGATGGCAATCTGGGTTGCTATGCAAAAGTAACCTATACTACTGAACCGTAGTAAACAGTGAACACAAATTACTGCCACGTTCAATCTCCAACTCCTCACCTCCTTTCCCGCCACTCCCATTCTTACATGGATGGTGATATAAAAAATATTATAGATTCGTTCCAGTAGCCACCAATAATTTTTGACCAGTTCAAAAAGGAGAAAGTGTAAGCATAATATTCGTTTATTCTGCTTTCGGTCAATGCATTAATCAATAACACACGAGGAGCAAAGGTTTCTTGCATAGAAATTACCATTAATCTATTATAATGTCAATTTACAAAGAGAAATAATTCGAGTGAAGCAAACTAAATGTACCAATCTCATGTCCCCATGCATTGATTGTGATCATTCAGCTAATCCTAGACTGAAATAGCATTTCGCTGCGACACCAAAAAAGAGTCATACAATCCACCTGTTATTGCACCAAAGGTGCAGTCAGCTCCGTGGCAAGGATATGGGTTTTTCCTAAATCGAAGTAATGAAATCACAAAGTTGAAAGTAGGGTTCCTATATAATACAAGTTCCTCTTCACTCTCCTATGAAAAGAAGGTTCCAAATGTGCCACTACTACATACTTTGTTCAATACAGAAGGCAAAGTCCAATAACTGAAATCTATCAGCTGGCAGGTATTGGTGCTTTGTCCGATGGAACACGTGCTATTTTCTTCAATAATTTTTGTTTTATCATTTCACAGAAAACAAATATAAGTTTATTTGCCCCCACAACCTTCCGTCTCTAGCATCCAGATCTTTATAGATTCCTTTTTATCTCACTGCCACATAGAACATCCATTTGACTTCATTTCATGAACAACATACATACATCTACTGCACAATTTGCCATCAAGAATGTACTTTTTTCTTTTTTAAATAAATTCCATTAATGCTGAATTAGGAGTTTTTCAGGTCCCAACCAACCATAAATGGGGTCTGGCACCATCCCTTACCTGTAGATTAATATTAAGGTGAAGTACATAGATGGGAGCATAGGGTCTTACCTCCGGGTTAAAAAGTAGATCCACAAGATATAAACTAGGGAACATACCTCTTACACTGAAAGCATACAAGCATAAGCTATCCTTCAAAAAATAAACTTGTTGGATAACTATAATTGCTGCCCACTTTGGCTTTTGCATGTTTTTGGAGTGCTTAAAGCTATTTTGACAAGTGCTTGGTGTTTACTGGTGGGTGCGTTTTGGTAGGTTATCTCAGTAATGTTTGTATTGTGTAACAGGAGTAATGCTACTCCCTCACATATGTAATTGCACACTTAAATTACTACATATAACATATCAGCCATATAATAAAGTATATAGCATATTACGATATAATATAACATATAGCATCTATGCTTGTAAAATAGGATAGCACCAACACCCCACCTACATCTCCTCCTCCTCCCTCCACCACCACACCCCACCTGTTTCACTATCAAAAATGGTGGTATGGCAGTGGTGGCGTGGGTAGGGTGAGGAAGATGAATAGTGATTTATTTATTTATTTTGATTCTTTTTTATGAATTTTATATCTTTATCTTTTTAATATTTTAATTAAGAATAACGAAGCAACCATTTTACCCCTAAAATTTTTGAATTTGATGGTCAAAGGAGTTGACTAAAGGAAAATTGGATGGAATCCATCAATTTGGATGAATGCCGCCAATTTATCAAATATTGGGAGACACGTTGGGGAGTACAAGTGCAAAAGTGGATAAAGGTTAAGGATGTTTGCTGCAATTTACCCTTCTCCAACGGGTACCAACCAGGGCCCTTTCTCTTTTTTCTGCACAATGTTAGCTAGCCTTAGACAATCTACCTCCACAAGTACTGATTTACTTCGCCAGTGCTTATGGGAAACCAACTCTCTGTGCAAGGCAATGCCTTCACTTCAGCTACAAAGCTGGTGCTATCATCCAAAAGTCATAATAAGCAAACACCATTTTTCCCTCTTGATGCTGTACAATTCCCCCTCCTACAGCTTGGCCCATAGACATACATTAGTATTCTATTTGTATTCACCCAGACTGACCTCGACCACTTGATCATTTTTTTAACGGGTACTGGATATACGGCAATCCAACGCCAAAGTGGGCAGCAATTATAGTTATCCAGCACCTCACAAGCTCTTCCACTCCAAATGATCCATAATGCATTCATGAGAACATTTCTATATACGCAATCATTAAGTTAACCACAATGCAAATAATGGGATTCAAAGAGTGTCCTGGTGCCATGAAGAAATTACCTACCTTTTCAATTAAAAATTATCAGTTATTATACCTAGATCTATACAACAATATATATTCATTTAAAGTTTCCAAATAGAAACGCACGCTAACATGAGGGCCCCACTATTGGCCAACGTATAGCAGACTGACACACATATTGAAACTATATCTTGTAAATGCACGAAATTACTGTTACAACACAAATTTTATTCCAATTTCTTCAAACCCTTATTAACCCTAAATCAACCAAAGGCAATTCCACACTCAATAAAATACACGTATATCAATAAAAGAATTTCTTCTGAAATTCACCGAACCCATACCGATTCTAGACCCTTTAAACCTCTAAACCAAACTAAAAGGGATTCCAGACAGACTCATATTCTTAAAATATAGCAGGAAAACAATTTACACAGACAATTAAACTGTATGGTACATGAAAAAAGTAAAAAATATTTATATATATATGAAGAAAAACATACTCCATGCTGGCGGGTGCCGGCGTTGATCCGCTGGATCCAGAGACCGCGCATGTCACGTTTCTTGTTCCGCCGATCTCTGTAAGAGTACTGAAGCGCCTTTTCCACTCTCTCTCTTGCTATTCTTATGCAATTCTTAGCTCTTCCCCTGAATCCCTTTGCTAGCTTAAACACCTCCTTCTTGTTCATCTTCAATGCTCCTACTACTTTCTCTCAAATTACAGTCTTTTTCCTTTGTGGGTTTTGTTTCGGGAAGTGGAAGGAGAGTGTTCGAGGGTTTAGCTCTCTTAGCCACGTTATGTTGTGGGATATTTACATTTTGGTATCTAAAATGGCCAAAAATTTTATTTGTATATAATTATTGGACATAATGATATTTATAATGTGACGTGACAATCATCTTATTATTGATGTATAAGTGTGAAATTTGCATTAAAGGTTGAATTCAGTGCTACGTTTAATTATGGATATGATTATATAGACAATTATACACATGTAGCAATTCTCAGAAAATGGGTATATTTCACTTTGGCCCATAAAATGTGTATATATGTCTCCTTGTTGGCCTGTTCATTGTTTTTGCTATAGGATTATTTTCAATCATACATTTACTAATAAAATATTTTACACGTAAATTCAAATATTTTCTTACTTTTTAATGACACATTCTTCTAAAAATATTATTTAAAACTCCTTTTTTTTTCTTTTTTTAAGTGATGAGCACTGAACTGGGGCTTATAATTAGGGGGATTTTTCTAAATGACCTATCACTATTCATTCTTGTCAAAATGTCTATAATACCCTTAATGAAATGACTTGTCATATTTTGCACAAAATATCCTGATTTATTGGGATAGTTCCAAAATTCTTCTGTTTCTTTCATTTCGAATTTTAATATATAGTTCCATCCTTTGATCTAATAAATTAGCATAATCTGTAATATAATTGTCATATAATTCTTTAAAATTATTATATTCTTTAGACGATATATCCATAGTTTCTAGTTGAGAAAAAATACTTTTTATTTTTTCTAATAATCTTTCTAACAGATTATCTAGTCCCTTAATTATATAGCCTAGCATCATATAGATAATTTCTTACAAACTTTATGATAATAATAACATGATAGATAAGTTTTTGCAAACATAATAAGTAATAATCCTTACGATTCTTTCAAGATATTAAAAGAATTCTTTCTAAATTTAACAAAGACAATAATTTTACCTTACTTTTGATCTTAAATCTGTATTCTTAGAATCGAGTGACCTTCAGACTCTGAATCTGCAAACTGCTCCCTCAAACGGCATTTTGCCTCAATGGAAATTCTACTATTTCAGCTTCTTGCTCTCACTGTATCTTTTTTTAGAATTAAAAATAAGGATCTTAAGTAAAGAAAATTCTCTCTTTATTAGAGTAAGAAAAAGATTATCTTCTTCAATCTGTCAAGAATCTATGGGATAAGAAATTTAGAAACTCTTTTTTTTTTTTATATCAAAAGATTGAAATTTTATTTTTATAATGATTTATACAAGGTTTCTATTGTATACAAGGGGTTTTCAGAAAAACTGATTTTAAAACAAAACTTAAAGAAAGAGAATGGTTTCTGACTCGAGATGATCCATTCTCTCCCAAAGACCTCTATTTATACATGACTCAAACTTACTATTATTGGTCTATTACATCATTGCATACATTAGAATTTGAAAAAAGGCTCACACGACTCTCTATTCTTTTCCTCCTGGGGTCTACATTTTCACATGCGTTTTTTGCTTTTTCATCAAAAGGGCATCTTTTCCTCTATCATTGCCTCTCCATCTTTGGCTCCATATGCAACTGTCTAGATGTTTTGATAGTGGTAGGTCTCCTTTTATTTTTCTCCATTCATCTTTTATCTTGAAGAATCAATCTTTTAATTTTGTCTGCATGTGGTGCACTCCCTCAATCTGCATGATTTTTGGATTGTTGTAGGACTTCCATTAATTTGATGAGTATCAAATTTTTGGATATATACTTTCAAAATAATAGATTTTTCTTTTCCATTATTCGTAAAGAGTGTCCATCCTTCATATTGGCACGAGCATTTGAATTTTTTGTCATATAAGTTCTTTGCAATGTTGTCAAGAACTTTCATCCGTAAAACTCTTCGGGATTTTATCCATGATTTATTGATTTTAGGCAATGATTTATTATTTCGGCCAACTTCAATCTGGAAATCTCGGCCAACATATCCAATTGTGATAATATGTTCAGCAGGATAGTATATCTTTCCATCAACTTTGGGACTTATTGAATAAAATTTGATATAAATTGATCTCCCTTGGGCAAATTTTGAAACTTCTGCTCTGAATATATCATCAAATTTTTCAATTTCTGTTAAATCTTTTCCTGGATAGATCAAATCCAGAAATCCATAATCTGCTGTCATTTTGACCATGAAAGGGTCTACATCTTTGGTAATTATTAATCTGGGATAAACATGATCTCCCGATGCAATAAAATATAATTCATTTTCTTCCAATTCATAAACAATTTTGGCAAATGATCTATATTATTCTTCTTTAGATGATAAAGGGATATCATCATCTTCATCAGTTTTGATCTGATAACTCTTGTATGTTCAAAGCCATTTTTTATCGTCACCTTCTGGGGACTTGCTATGTCTCGTTTGATATTGTTGGGTCCACTGCTGCTTCCTGGTTGTGTACCTGTCTGTATTTTTGAGATTGTATCAATTGGTATTTCCTGTTTGGTATTTAATGACTTGAATTGTGAAGTAATATCAATAATTCCGTCATTCAATTTTTTGGTATATTTGGAATAAGAATTAGAGATTTCCACCAACAATCTGACATTTTGTTGGATAGATTCTGTCATTTGCTCTAATTGCTCAATTCCAATTTTCATATCTTCTGATTCTTCCATGAGGAATTTCATTCATCTGTTGACGTCTATTAATAAATTTTTGATATTATCCATCTCCGAATTCGATATTTCTGCTCAAAAAATCTGCAAGATAATTATTTATTCCTTTAATATGAACAATATCAAAATTGTAGAATGATAAATATGATTGCCATCTGTGTAACATTCTATATTGAGGTTCCATAGGTAACTTATTTCTAATAAGTCCTGCAACTTGAGAATTATCAGTTTCAACAATAAATTATTTAGATAAAAGGAATAATGAAAACTTTTTTATTCCTCTAATAATTACTAACAATTCTTTTTCATGAGTAGTATAATTTATTTCTGTTTGGTTAAAAGTTCCACTTGAATATCTGCATATTTCATTTAAATCTGTTTTTAATATAGCTGCCCAATATTTATCGGAGGGATCAGTATTAACAATTAAATTATCTTTTTCATCTGGTAATCTTAGTTTTGGTAAATTTTTACATTCTTCTTTTAATACTTTAACAATTTCAGTATGTTCTTTATTCCAACCTTTAGTATTTGTTTTTTCTAAGTAGAATTTGTATCTTATGTTTCTTTTTTGAGAAATTTTCAATAAATCTTTCAACATAGTTTAGACATCCTAAAAATTTTTGTATTTGTTCTTTGAATTTTAATTTATCTGGAAAGCTTTCTATCTTTTTAGATATATGAGTTTGTAATTTTATTCATTTCTATCTATTGATAATCCTAGAAAATCTATTTCTTGTTTCTCAATTATAGATTTCTTTTTAGAAAGTACAATTTCTTCCTTTTTGCATTTATTTATGAATTGTAATAAATGATTCTCATGTTCATTTTTATTATTAGAGCATATTAATGTATCATCTATATAAACAATAAGAAAATAACTATACTTTTTGAATATATTATCCATTTTTCTTTGAAATATTTGTGGTGCATTTTTTAAACCAAATGACATAACTAACCATTCATATTTTTCTTGAGGTGTAATAAAAGCTGTATATTGTATACTGTCTTCTTCCATTTTTATTTGCCAAAATCCTGATTTACAATCAAATTTGGAATAATATTGTTTTCCTTTTGCAAGATTTATTAGGACTTCTTTATTTGGTAAAAAGTAACCATCAAATTTAGTATATTTATTTAATTCCTTATAGTTTATTACCATTCTAGTTTTTCCTCTAATCTGCTCAGAATGTTTCATAACCATAAAAACTGGACTAGTATGAGGTCCATTACTGGGTCTAATTAGTTTTTATTCTATTAGTTCTTTTATCTAAATTTTAAATTATTGCATATCCTGTAAGGTATACATCATTGGTCTAACTCTTATTATAACATTTTCTGTTAATTCTATTTTAGCTTTAGGGTGATATGGTTTCCAAAATAATAATGGATTTTCTCTATAAATATTTTCTAATTGTTCTATGATTTTATCCATACTTATCTCTATTTCTGTTTTTAGGATCTTTTTATATGATAGTTTTTTATTTTTTAGTTCATCTTGTACTATTGGTCGTTTTTCCCATTTATCACCACGCTGTGCTGGCTAACTTTGTAGGGTCTAAATTATCTTGATATTTTTAATAGATGTGCACAATGTGTTTGTAACATTATCATGTAATTATTTTGCTTATATTATTGAAATTGTTGGATAAAATCATTTCCTAATAGTATATCACATTCTAACTTATTATAATTATATACTTTATTTTTTAAAACTTGTTTACTACCAAGTATTATATTAACTTTTTCAGCACTATCAATTATTTGAGTACTTTCTCCAGTCACTCCTGTTATTTTTATTTTACTGTTTTTACTCCATGATTTTATTAAGAAATTTTTAAAAATTGTTATATCACTTCCTGTATCAATTAAGGCACAAGTTGTTATATTTGTTTGTACTATAGTAACTTATATATATACTGCTAATGAAAAACTTATTTGATTATTCATCCACTTCCTATTTTACATAATGTAGTTTGTCCTTTATGAGTTATATATAATCCTTCTTTTTTTATACTATAATCTTCTAATTCATTTAAGAAACTCGTTTCTAATAATATATGAGGTTCAATATCCATACTTTCATCCAAATAACATGGTACTAAAAGATCAATCCCACCTATTTTTATTGGTACCTTTACCTTTAATTCTGTAATATATAGTTGTCCATCAAAATTCCTGTATTCATATGGTTCTATCTTGTAAGTCATTAATCCTTCATTTTTATTTGCAGCCATATGACATTCACCAGCTCCTGTATCTATCAATATATTCGGTCCTTTTATATACCTTCTACCATTGAAATATTTTCCTTCTATTTTCATATTTCTAATATTTCCATGAGATTTTATTTCTTTTATACCACTAGTTTCTCCTAAATATTCTTTTTTATTAG